TATGTCTTGATTGATGATGTGTTGAAATGAAACAAGATGGCTACGTAATATCAATTGGATCTGCCTAATTAAAAAAAAAGATATTTGTGAACAGAGGGTTTTTGTTTTTGCTGGTCAGGAGAATGCAGTCTCTTCACTTTCAGGAATCAGTTCCGCTTTTTCTGCAACAAAGATTTAAAAGGTATAACACCTGGTTACAGAAGATGCTCACAAGAAGTGATAAGTGCATATTTTCTTGCATTTACTAGCCTGACGTAGTCCGACTCAATTCTAGGCAGAATATGAGTCTGATACTGCTCCATAGAGCTGTGATTATGGGGCGTGTTTCGAACGAACCAGGGAAAAAAATGCCTCTGCACTCAATTGGATAGACCTACAACCAATAAGAGCAACGGAGTGCGTGACGTATGTTAAGCGAGGCATAGTTGTTGTCCACAAAAATCAAAGCGTGCAGTTGCACGCCTATAATAAGAAGTTGAGACTTGATCGCGTTTCTCTGTTCCTCTTTTAAAATTAATTTGCTGTCGATATCTTCTAGAACAGACCTAATAGCAGAATCTACTCACCTAAACTCTCCAGTGGCAGCCATTATTGTTTTCACCCAAGCGCGCATTGGTCACGTGGTTGATTACGTTACTGTTTGTCATCTGTCCATCATCGTATAAAGCCCGCCCTGACAAATTGATTGGATCGCCTGACAGTGGGCGATAATACTCGCGCTACTATGGAGCAGAGCCAGACCAAACTTCCCCGACCTCAAACTTTGTTTGCGGGACTAAGTTCGGAATGGCACCCAGGCTATGCATTTACAGCCACAGGAACAAAATCTTCTCCCAACCCCTGGGGGTTGTAGTTACAACTTCTGGGCAGAAGAAGTGTGTCAGAGAACAGGTGTTCAGTTGTCCAATATCTGGATGGGCATTGTCACAAAGAAAAGCTGAGATGATTGCCCCCCCCCTTTTCTAAAACTGTACAGTAATCTGTTATGTAATGGATGATTTGAGAACTTGCTGGTAGAGGTGATGAGAAAATATGATAATTTGTATTTATATTTTAAGTAACATAAAGCAATTTTTGTCTCCCCCTCTGTTGCATCTGGCTCAGTGTTGAACTAAAAATAATAGACCATGTCACAAATAAAATGCATAACTTAAAATTTAATAGAAGTAAAGCAAAAAGCAACAAAAGTTAAGGGGCAACTGATGTAATACACAGCACAGATGCTGGTGGTCATTCAGGCCATAGTCATTCCATAAAAGTAAAAAATCAGACCACTGGACTGTGTTTACCAAGTTTGAAGACTTTTCACTTCCCATCCAGCAAATTTTCTCAATTCAAATGTCTGGATTAGCGCTGAGTTCTGGGCTTTATATAGTGGCCCAACAAAGCCTTGTTTTGTGCTTAGAAAACATGAGAATTTAACTGAAAAAAAGGTCCACCCCTCAGTAATGGGGCATCATCAAGGTTGTTGTTGGCCTGCAATAACCAGAGATGGGAAGTAACAAAGTACAAATACTTCGTTACTGTACTCAAGTAGATTTTTCTGATATTTTTACTTTACTTTACTACTTATTTTTATGGCGACTTTTTACTTCTACTCCTTACATTTTTACACAAATATCTGTACTTTCTAATCCTTACATTTTAAAAAATTGGCTCGTTACTTTAGTTTTGAATCATTTCAATGGAGTTACCGTTATAATTTTTCACGTCATCAATACCAAATTCGATCTAATTGGATGGGAATCTACGTTGCATTTGACGCACCACTACAAGATGAATCGACAGATTCGGCGGTATTCATTGGCGGCAAATCATTGCAGCTTGGTGGCGGTGGCGTTAGCATAGTAGCATGGACGACGAGATGATTGAAAATGAACACAACGGAGATCTAGTCCTATTGGCAGACATCCATTTAAAATGTAGGCAACGGCATGAAAAAAGTGGTTTCTACTTTTACTTTTATACTTTAAGTAAATTTACAAGCCTGTACTTTGTTACTTTTACTTGAGTAAAGAAGTTTAATCAGTACTTCCACTTTTACCAGAGTATTTTTTAACACAAGTATCTGTACTTTTACTCAAGTACGGAAAGTGAGTACTTTTGCCATCTCTGGCAATAACCAATACTGGCCTATGCCTCTGAAAAGAGAGTCTTTAGGGTCATTCAGAGGCATATGTAACAGGTAACAGGTATTTCAAGCCAACAACGACCTCAACAACTCTCCATTATTTTTTTTTACTTTTTTGGACAGAGCACACATGATAAAATATATATGTCCTGTGCCAGATTACAAAAACATGCATAGGGGAGGGGCAAACAAGGCTGTCCCACTGAGGAAGCAATCCAGCTCACAAGGCCTAGATCCTTGAAACCTTCCTCCTATCAATCTTAAAAAATGTTGCCATTGCATTGATGTTGTGAAGTGAAAATGGGGATGTGCACAAAGGATGGCCTTATGTAAACATATCACCAGAATGATTGACAATAAGCAGGACCACTTATTTTGATGATCCACTTGGAAAAAGATCCTCCACTATACCTTTAATATACCCAATACTAAGGAATATATTTCTGAGAAGACTCCAGTATCTCTTTCTGACTGCTGAATCTTTTGTATTTTGTGTGATAGTGTGTATTTCTGAGGTGCATTATCATTCTGATCCAGACCAGCCTGCCACATTAAGCTTTAATACCGGCCCAGAGACCTGTGTTTCAACTCAGCCCGAGCAGGGAACGCTTTCAGCTCTGATGTTTACGTACACAAAGTAATGAATGTGGAAATTTCCCTCTGTCTCAGTAATGCAGCAATGAACATGCAAATGATTCCCTCCCAGACAAACACACTTTAAGCAGAAGCGTTTCTGTGAGGCTCTGCCACATGTCTTCTGGTATTTAAATGGATCTTGACAGGAGCAAACCTCTCTAGTATTTTCTCCTCCATGTAGTTCAGGTGTTGCAAACTTTTGATGCACCCCTGTAGGGACTTCTCAGCACTCTGACCCCTGCCTGTCCTGACCTTCCATAAACCTCTGAAGCTGCTGCTGTTTGGGTATAAACACTAAAGGAGCTCCCAGCAAATAACCCATACAAATTCCCAGTTTTTATTTTCAAAGACCGATTTATCTTTCTAGCATTTCTAGTTAACGTGTTTTGCTACTTCACCAGCACTTCACGTATGAACGAGATGAAAATTATTTTAAATCTTGATTAACAAAAACTAAACTTTCACGGTTGAACCAGTTTTACCCTTTACACCCCCTTCAGTTTTTTCAATAATTATCAAAATTCTACAGTCAAATTAATTAAAAGCTTTCTATCTAAGTAAAACCAGTTGATTGCATCGACTCATTGACCTCAAATGCAACCCCTCACACTAAGCATGCTTGTGGAGACTGTGGAGAGGAAAATCTTCCTTTTAACAGGAAGAAACCTCCAGGAATCAGGCTCAGTGTGAGCGGCCATCTGCCCATGCCGACTGGGGTTCAAGGAGAGAGAAGCAGAGATACAAAAGGCAGCTGTAAAAGGCGACCTCGTCAAGGAAACAAACAGCCAGGCAGACGAGCTCTGGGCCAGCTCCCATGTCAGAGGATGAAGAGAGCACAACCAGTCAGTCACAATCAGAGAAACAGGACTACACTGAAAAACAGGCAGATCTCCAACATCTATAAAGAAAGGTGTTGATGGCAGCATCACAGCTCATATCTGCCTTATAAAATCTGCCTTATAATTGTCAGGTTTCAGTGGTGGTTTGAGGACCAAAATGCAGAGGCAGAGGCTGAGGAGATTTCTTGCAGCTTTAATGAAATTAACAGAGGTAACAGAGGTGGGAATCCAAAAATCCAAAATCAAACATGAAAAATATAAAGCAAACCAGAACTATGGAGACATGTGGGGAAAACCAAACACGAGGAGCCAGGGAGCCATATATAGCAGAGAGAGACAAAGGGAGGGCTAAAGAGCATACAAGGAGCAGGTGTGAGGGGAGACATCGAGGGAGCCAGGGGGAAAGGAACACACACAAGAGGGCAATAGAGGACAACAGAAAAACATGAGAACTAATATAAATCTAGAAATTACAACAAAACTGTAATTAAACCAATAAAACTAGAAAACAAGGAGCAAAGTAAAGAACAACAGAACCAAGACCATGACAATAATGCCATGACAATCCCGAACTTACTCTAAAAAATAGTTATTAATCATTTTTATGAAAATACAAGAAACCAATATCCTAATTTGATGGATAGAAAAGCAGGAATTTCAACAAAAAAAGCGATTCCAAGGTCTATGTGGGTCTTTTATATATAGCTTAAAATGAAAGGGAAGATAATGAAATATTAACCTTGGATATTATAAAGGGTCTGTGGAAGCTGTTTTTCAGCCGTATACAGTTTTCAAGTAGTGGGTGCAGAGACAGCTGAGGGGACAGAGGATGAGGAGAGAGAAATTAGCACAAGCTTTGAAAACATGTGTGGGGTTTAAACACAAAGCAACTGTCTCACTGTGGTTAGATTGGTGACTATGCACTGAACTTGGTGTCACAAAACAAATACACAATTTTGAAATTTTGGATTTTAATTGCTTCTCTGTTTAGTTGTTCCATGTTGACTCTTCCTGCCCACTGCCAGCCACCACAGAAGAATGATCTTCCTTGTTTATTTAGTATGTCAGCTTTCTTCTGTGATCATTCTAAATAGTTTTAGGGTTTACAGCCAATAAACATGAATGAATGCCCACTTCCACACAAACTACTGTTTGATTGGTCATAGCTTCATGCCTGTGTTGCTTTCACCTGAGTTGGGTTAAAACGTCTTTTCAATTAATATCATGGGGCGGCTAATTTCTTACCTAAGAAATGAGAAAAAGATCCGGGACTTGATGAGAATCATTCGGGCATAAGCCAGTGTTACAGCAAAATCTGTACCCCGTCATATATTTTGACCCAAGGGTGCGCTTACCTAACCTGACAACAGCCAGATGCATGTCTCGCTCGAGACATGCATCTGGCTGTTGTCAGGTTAGCACTTACCTATGTTTCTCAATATACTTCTTTAGGTATCAATGGTCTTAATAATGTGATATTATCTGACAGAGTGGGGTCCTGTCATCCAGGTTACACCAGTACAGTTAAAAAAAAACAAGATCTCCGCTTAATAAATTTATTTGTTTTTTAAAGTCCAGTGTAAAAATATCTAGAGGAGTTTAAATTCAAGTCTTTAACACAACTGTAGCCCTAGATTGTAAATTATAAAAGACATCCTTTAGGGAGTTTGTGAATTGTTGCAACAGAGTTGTGTATTTGTTGGCACTTCCATTTGCAAACAATATTCTGTTTTTATTTTTAAGTTGATAGTCATCCCTGTTCCCTGAGCACCAACATCACAAAGTTTCATGTTACACATGAAATTAGTTTGGATCTGATAACGCCAAAACATTCACTCTCAGGATCAGTTCCTGCTAATTAGTGGAGTATTGGAGAAACCTATCCATGACACACAGATATCTGCATCTCCCTATCTCATAGAGCTAGGGTTGATTATAGCAGAAAGACTGTAAACACCAAATGGATGCAGAGCTGCCAATTACTAACAATATATTGTTTTCTGCCTGTGAGCAAAGCTCTCAGGCTGTATTACCTTCCGTGTGAAATATTTCACTCTGTGTATTCAGTCTTGTCTTATGATATAAAAGCAGACATTTTTCACAGTGTAAACCACATCTCGGGGTCTGCTCTGTATTGATCCGTCACTCCTGAAACTATTTAGTGTCTTCTGCTGAGAAAACTATTTTACTTTACACCAAGCAACACTTTAATTTTAAGCTAAAATGTTCTGAGTGATTCGCTGAGGGACATATTGATTTTTAATTCCGACTTAAAGCGTATGGACCAAGTCTCCCTGTTTTCTGTCTGATTCTCTGTAACTTTCTAGGTTAAACTAGAAAAAAAAAATGATTCAGCAGCATTCCTTTGGTGCCAAAAATAAAACCCATGTGATGAATGTAATTTGGGGAGATTCAAGCATAGAAAAGGATGCAATCAGGTGCTGATCATCACAGTTTAAGGTATTCAATGCAAGATTTGCAGCTCATTTGAGTGAAAGTAAAAAGGACAGTTGGGGGAAAACCAAGATGTAAGGGTGATTACGCAGCAGACCAAAGCTTAAGACCAAAATGTAATTATTTGATTGTTCAGTATGTCAGTTATAGAATATCGCTCACGCATATATATACATAATATATATATATATATACATAATATACAGACAATGAAGCTTGGAGAAGCTCAGTTAGTTCATAAGTGAAATTAGTATCTGATTTAAATGGATTCTGTCCTGGATTTGTAATTTTTTTGCAGTAGTAGAGTCATAAAGAAACCTCCAGACATTGATCTGTTCATCACATCTTAAGTGGCTGCTGTGTAGAGACTAAACTTATAATTCTCAGAAAAAAAACTCCCTGGAGTTTAAAAGAAAATCTTCCAGCTTCATAGAAACCTTAAGGCCTTTGAATATTTTTGGGAAATTGTTGCATGTGCTTTGCCTGGTTCAGATTTCTAAATATTTTCACGTACTTTGTGACTTAAGCATAAACAATAAATGTAATACAGGAGATTGTAGACAGTGTAATCTGAATGCGATAATTTAATCATGAATCTAATTATTATCTTGTAAAGAGGTACATGCTAAAACAAATGCCACAGAAAACAAAAAACGTGTCACAATATATTATTACAAATGATAAATACATATCAGAATCTAGACGGGATTGGTAAAATAAGTAAAGCTTGCTGCAGATTATCTTGTATGATAAAAATGAAAGGATCCTCTTGCCTTTCACCACATTTTGTTCTTTTGATTTACAGTCTTGTTTAATTAGATTTTAATCAGAGAATCTCAAAAATGGCAGCATACAGCGCACCACCCTGAATTTATCAAATGCAATCTGTGTAACAGCAATGAGAAGCAAACTATGGAGTGGATACTGACGTGTGTCGTCTGATTCATCTGACCAGCTGTTGTAGGTGAAAGCACTGCAGAAGTTAATGCTGGTCAGATTAAGCAGTGCACTGCAGTTTACTGTAAGTTTGGGTTTTACAGTAGTTCAGTTAGGCTGAGGTTGTTAAGATACTATAATTGACTGTTTATTCTTTTTATTTTAGGTTTGATTGTTCCTTTGTCCTTATAATTGATTTACCTTCACTATCTCTAGTCTACAAAATAACATCTACATCACTAAACAAGTTTAAAAGAAACCTGGCTGTAGAGAATGCCTATATGTTTAAAAGTGAAATTGATTCAGCATGACTTTTAACATGTCTCACTCCACTGTGCTATTTTCATGTCTCAGTGTAGTCAAGAAAAATGTGTTTATTGTCACTGATGTGTGATAAAAAGAGCCGTGGATTGCTTATTTCAGTATACCTTCTTTCATTTACAACATGAAAAAAATAGATATAGACATTTCACCGTTTACATCAACAAGCTAAAGTAAACAATATGGGAGATATAGGAATATAGGGAAAAAAAACATTGTAACTTTAAGTTTGATGCTTATTTTTTAAAGTTAGATCAGGGTTCTGTAACCTGTGGCTCTTTAGACACTTGACAATGCCTCTTTATTATTTTGGCTAAAAATAATGAAGAGCCAGCTAATTTTGGGAAAAATAGAAACACCAACAAATTTAATTTCACAAATAAATTGACTATAAATTATACAGACAGAATTTTTTAGTTTTTTATTACTGAAATGGGATTTCAGCAAGCTATTTAAAATGTATTGATTCTCTTTTCACAAGTTTATTCCTTCACTTTTGAAATGGCACTGTGATTATTTAGAAAATATTTGGAATGTATCTCTTTAAAAAAGGCCACATTATGTTTGCAGCTCTAAACAAAATGATCAGTTGGACTGAACGTAAAAATGGCTCTTTGGATGTAAATGTTGCAAACCCTGGTCTAGAGGTACTTAAAACGGGTTCCTTTCTGTAACCAAACCTATCTCCTTTGTTCCATTTATGTTGTTCTCTTCACTTTTACTGTGCTTGCATCACACTTAATCAAACTCTTTCTGAACAACCTCTTTATTTTTGCTTTTGTAGGTTCGACTACCAGGAGCTGCTTCACAACGCCAGTTTCTGCTTGGTGCCCCGGGGCCGTCGACTGGGATCCTTTCGCTTTTTGGAGGCCTTACAGGTGGGTTCCTGCTTAGATGGATGTCAGTGTGGTTTAAGTTCAAAGAATGCAGATCCTTACGATGTCAAATTTTATCACTAAAAATTCTTTTAATTTCTTTAAAAACTGTTGGTCTTTTTAAGTTATTTTTAAAGTAAAAAGGTCCAATATCCTGCATTTTATGCCCTTTTAAATACACTATGGGCATTTAAATGTTAAATTATTTTATTTGCTTTGCATACTATTAATTTGTTCTGAAATACTCGTTGAGTTCTTCAGACACCGAAGAGAGAGACACCTGCCTTAATCGGGAGCCACCCACTTCATGACGTCCCCATATTACGTGACTTCTGGCAATTAAGCTCTTCAGCAGCATGGTTGAACAAAATCTACGACCCCTCACAGGCAAAAAAATGCAGTTTTGCGGCAAAAGTATTCAGTTTGTGTTGTGATGTTCAAGTTTTCAAAAAAGACTTGCTTTTAATGCTTACCCGTTTCCCTTTGTTGTGACTTTGCTTCCATTACACAAAACAGAGTATAGAAAAAAAAGGAAACTGTGTCACAGTGAAAATTTAGCACCAATTAAGCAATTTACTCTGTCTTCTGTTTTGAAATTGGTAATAAAATCATTGATAATGCATTTTGCCATCTACTGGTGCAGCAGAGCCAATAAAATGTTTTTGGGATAAATGCAGCTAACAGTACAGCTCTATTGTCTCCTGTTGCAGAATATATTTGAATAAGCAAATGCAAAAACTTTAGCCTGACGTAGTCCTACTCAATTCTAGTCAGAATATGAGTCTGATACTGCTCCATAGAGCTGTGATTATGGGGCGTGTTTTGAACAAACCAGGAAAAAAAATGCCTCTGCACTCAATTGGATAGACCTACAACCAATAAGAGCAACGGAGTGCGTGACGTATGTTAAGCGAGGCACAGTTGTTGTCAACAAAAATCAAAGCGTGCAGTTTCACGCCTGGAATAAGAAGATGAGCCTTTATCGCGTTTCTCTGTTCCTCTTTTAAAATTAATTTGCTGTCGATATCTTCTAGAACAGACCTAATAGCAGAATCTACACACCTCAACTCTCCAGCGGCAGCAATTGTTGTTGTCACCCAAGCGCGCTTTGGTCACGTGGTGGATTACGTTACTGTTGATCATCTGTCCATCATCGTATAAAGCCCGCCCTGACAATTTGATTGGATCGCCAGAGGGTGGGCGATCATACTCGCTCTACTATGGAGCAATGCCAGACCGAACTTCCCGACCTCAAACCTTGTGGGCGGGACTAAGTTCGGAATGGCACCCAGGCTACAAAAACTTTCTCTCAGCAGACATTTTGTTTCCTAAGGTTGTAAGAAAGAGATATCCTCAAGATCCACTTGTCCAACGAAATGTAGGTTGCATTACATCTTTAGGAAACTTTCAAACCAAAAGTGTTTAGAATTCATAAAAATTTCCCAGTTTTGACACAAATAAGACATAAAGTAACCAAAGATTTTTCTCACAGCTTAGTATTGGGTCATAATTAGGAGACAGTTATCTGTGAGTCTTTGGAGCTCCAACTGAGCTATTCAACCATTCAAACAGCTCCCAGTAACTCTCTGACAGGACCAAAGCTGAATTATATCAGTATTGACAATCTGTCATATCTCTAAAATAGAAAAGGCCTGTTTGAGTAGATACACCACAGAGAAGACACAGCCGCTCACCACAGATGTGTTCATCTTCCATTAGCAAATCGTTTTTATCCATTTCACTGCTTTGACATTATTTATCTGGCAAAATTCAGCTGTCATGTTTTTCTACGTGACTTCCTTCAGTTTTAATCATGTTTTAAAACTTAGCAACATTAAAGTTTTTGTTCTTACTCTTGTTATTAGTATTTTAAGTCTACCTATGGAGACTTTAAATACTTCTGGAAACAAGTTTTAATTTATGAAACCTGATCTACTGTGTTTTTCAAGCTGTCCAATATCCTTCTGATGTGTGCAAACGCAAACAGTAACCCTGGTTAACCTTCTGTACATTTATGCTTTTTCTTTCAGCCATTTCTTTATCATATTGATTAACCTACATAAAAACTAAAAATAAACCTTTTGCAATCAAGCAAATAGGAAATAAGCTTGATGAAGGTTGATTTACACTGTATATACTGTATATATCCCATGCACCTTTTTCTTCCTTTGGTACATTCTCCTTCTTTGACTATTTGAGTTGATTTAACGAGTAAATTTCTCCACTGTGAGATCAAAAAGTCAATCAATCAATCTATCAATTTAGTATTCAGCTCAGAATATGTAGAATAATTAAAAACCTAAGAGAAAATAAAATAAAACGCTTTCTGGTAAAACTACAGTAGAAGCTGAAGGTTTTTCATAAATAATGATGGACTTTTGAGTGTTTTTAATAAGAAAGCTCCCAGCTGAATAGAGAGTTATGAGGATAAAAGTGAAAAAGACAAAAGAGTTATATCACCAGAGTCAAAGTAATGAAATCGTTTCTGGGGCAGTTATCGATCACAAGCCTGGCATTTTGGAAAGCTCCTTTAATCCTTCAGTCTCACTTGATTAAGAATCCTGTGGAACTTGAACTTTAAACAAAAGAATCAGACTTAGCCAGTTTTTTCTTCCTTTTTTTTTCTGCTAACTTTCTGACAAGGCTTCATCCTAGCTGTTCAGCGTATAATAATAGACGGGGGGACAAACCCAGAATATCTTGAATTCAGTCGTGGGTAAGGCTTGGAGGCATGTTTTACTTATATGTGTGAAAAGGACAACAGATCAATTATTTTCTTAAAATGTTAAATATTTTTAGACTGAACAGGAACTTTGTAGTTTTGGGGTTTTAGATTTACAAAATTCAAGCCTTCAACAGCATCCCACTATCTTCATTCACTTAATATCAGTTACATGAGACGTGTTAGTTTTCAAAATATTCCTGATAAATCCAACACTTCTAATTAGAAGGGAGCTATATAGCTGTTAATTTATTCCCTGTTTTAACATTTTAGCTGAAAATTAGCACCATGGCTTTTCAGATAAAGCATGAATATTTAAAATGAAAATTCGAATGCCCATTTAAGCACAATTTAAGGGAGTTGTTGAAACAGAACAATCTCTTTTCCATCAGCAACAAACGATGAACCCTTTTAAGAATCTCTCCATAAAATAAATTTAACACTCAGCCTCTCAGAGCGCAATGAAATCTGCTCCTAATGAATTAAACCCCATAAATGGTTCTTCCAAATATCAAGGCTCACTGGAAAATAGATAAATTAAATTCCTTTCGGCTTTAATCTATCTGGCAACATCGTTTGTTTGAAGGGAACTTAGCTGAAATACATTCAAAGTGTCTCACGGAAGAAAGCAATAAAAAAGGATAAAAAAGCACTCAGTAAAGGAAAGAAAAACACTTAAAGCTGATCCTTCCCCACGCTCCCCTTTCAACTTCGGCTGCTCAGACTTTTATGTGTCACTGAAACTGGCTTCCTTTTTTCTGCTGTGAAATCATGTCAACAGTATAAAAATAAAATGATCTCCACTTATATCTTAATGACAAATCGCTCCTTTGAAAGAAATATTAATTTTTCCTCCTCGGCTGACATCAATGGCTTATTAAACACAGCTACCAACAGTGCATATAGACAGAAAGCTTAGTTCCACTATCTGACTCAAGAGTGAGAAATATTTTATATTATTAAGTTTAATGAGAAATTAAAGTAAAGATGATTTTCACCTGCCTTTCAAATGCGTGATTCTCGCTCTTATTAAGACGTACTTGTTTGTATTTCTTGTGCTTTTGCAGGCTGCCTGTATTCCAGTTATTCTGAGTAACGGCTGGGAGCTTCCATTCTCTGAAGTAATCGACTGGAGGAAAGCTGCCATCATTGGAGATGAGAGATTACTGTTACAGGTACTCAGTAATATCGGAAATAAAAATGATCTAGGACTGTTATAAGATTGTGAAAATGGCTGGTTTGAATGACACAAATGGGAAGACAAAGTGCTCAAAGGCATATATTTAAATTAGAGAATCCTTCTATAGATATAAAGCAGGCATGACTAAGTAGGTGAGAGAAATATCTCAAAATAACCTCAACAAAGGGGGCAATCTCTCCCCCAAAATGACCACCATCAGCAGGTAAAATAGGGCCCTTCAGCAGTGGCTAATCAGTGTGAAGGAATATCAACAACATCCTATAGAAAACTGCCATTATAGCTTCCAGATCCCGTGGGCAACCATGGAAATCCAGCTGAGGCCGATAAGAAAAACAGATGGGAGACACTAAAATACAGTAGGCTGCGAAATGAGTCTTCAGTTTGAGTTTGATTGAAACACTTTAATTCTGTCTAAACAGTGTGAATAAATATGCAGACAAATAAATCTAGAACAGACAAAGCTGTGGATTATTTTTGTCTGTTATCACTTAATTTTATTTGATAATCAGACAGGATGGTTAAGGAAACTAGTTTATCAAGGCTTTTTGTCTTTCAGAGGACTTTCTGATGTGCTAATAGGAAAAAAATAGAATTTTTGTTCTAAGTCTAGGGAGGTGATAGCTTGACATTTTCCTCTAGAATTAAATGACAGAGAGTAGATTGTCCTCAAGCAATGCATAGTTACATAAATAATAGAAAAGAGTGCTGGTCCTCCAGCAGCAAAACAGACCCATAGCCTCAAACTACCTCTTCCATGTTTGACTTCTTGTATGATGTTGCTTTCCTTAGTGATGTAAGCTACAGTTGCTACAACTGGCTCTCAACATCTGGGTAATATTCAATGGGATCCTAACCAACTAAAAGACTCTACCCAGAAGCTGTCTCAGGACCGTTAGTACAGATAGTCAAAGGATATAACTCATACTCTGTCATATGCCCTGATTTAGCTTAGACTCAAGCTGACGTTTAAGAGAAAAAATATATATTTTAAAGCGGCTCCTACCTGCACTTAACCTTTTTAAACTTTATGTTGTCATCAAATTAAGATCCCTTGGACAGGCAGTCTGATAGAATCATGCTTAATGTAAGTTAACAAAACTTTATAAAATCTGACATGAGATTACAGAAATCAATTATCAAAGAGCCCAGCTCTACACAAGAACTTTTATAGCTTGTACTAATTTTTCAGGAATCTTGGGAGTTTAGATCAATGTTAAAATCTTAGCCAGACGAGTAAGTGTAATGAAAGCATGGATCCGGTGTGCAATATTTCGATTGTATACATGTAGATAATTATTTTTAACCTCTTTCTACAGCAAAGCCACATAAAAATGTTGCAGACAAGACATTTTATGTCTGTCTTTTCTGTTATAACTCAATAGCAGAGACTTAAAAGTACAAAGAGATGTTAAAAAAGTTAAGTTCTCTGAGCAGAAGGTAGCTGAATCTACCTCTGTCTTCGCGACTTACTAAATGTTCTTTGTTTAGATATGGAACATGATAATCAGAGTCATTTACACTCACACCTAGAGCTATTTATACCGACGATGCATTTCCCTACAAATGGAACACCTTCTGTTCCTTTTAATAACAGCTGCAGTGTGATATTAAGATTTTGTAATTAGTCTCACTATTACTGCATGTCACCTGGGCGACCTTTAGCACCATCTGGACAGCCAAATAGACCTGTGGTTGTTTGTATTTTGGGAATTTCAAACTAAAAGTGTCAGCCATTAATTAGAGGGTCTCTGATTCAAGACCTTACCAAACACTTAGAAAGAAGATGCTTTTACAAGACCATGTATATATGTATATATATGTATATATATATATATATATATATATATATATATATATATATATATATATATATATATATATATATATATATATATATATATATGCATATGTGTGCATGTATGTACGTATGCTAAAATATAGATTTTTTTAGACATCAAGGATCCATTGAGGCCCAAATGTACCAACGCTTTTAGTTTTTTTTTTTTTCACATCCTCATTTGCACAAATTGATGCCCCTCTATAGATCTTGCTAATTGTTGGTTAAGGTGACATTTGTGAAGCGATAAGTGTGTTCCGAGAGAGACTGAGATGCATACTTATAATTAGGTTTGAGGAAAACAGACATTCTTCCATTAATTCATGTGAAGCATGTGATGCAGAAATGTCAAGAGTAAATGAAAATATAGCTGCAGAGATGAAAGGAAAAAGCTTCTCAGAAAAGAACCTGACATTTGCCAGCACACACAAATAAAAGGAAATTAAACATCTGACTGCTGTGCTCTCTTTGTTCGGGTTAAAGAATGCAGACGCACTAACAGATAATGAGCAATTTCAAACATGAATCAAACAGCTTTTGTACAAGGTGCTTTTGCTTGGTTTTCAATTTGCAAAAAAAAAAGAAAATTCTGTTTTCCTTCTCTATTAAAAGCATGAAAAAATAGCAGAGATAGTTGGAGAATATTTAATCCACTACTTTTTGTTTTGTCTATCGAATCTATATTTAGAGGAACCTCACTCTTTTTAACAACATTGTTTCAGGTTATTGACAAAAGCAGCCATCTGTTTCTGCACAGCGCTCTTTAGGAACAACAACGTAATTTCAGTCAGGTTCACATCTAGAAGTTAGCTGGGCCATTGCAAGTATTGCCTCACTTACAGTGCTGGTTCAGTCCAGGGATCAGTAAAAATGAGAAAATGAAGACCTTCAATTGGCCAAGTTTGCTCTCAAACAGAATGTTAAGGCCTGGGTGCAGACTATTATTATGCAGCATGAAGGCATTGTTTCAGGGGCCTTTCTTTCATTATTCTAAAGGAAAGAAAATCAAGAAGAAAGTCTGTAATCAAATGGTCTGCAATCCTATTCACGACAAACAAGACTGAACAGCATGTATTGGGGCAGTTCTCAATAGAGTATGAAGTAGCAAGGATGAGAATAAACTCATCCAAGACCATGGTTCTCGATTGGAAAAAGGTAGCTTCTCTCCTTCAGGTTAAAGGAGAGTCCCTGCCTCAAGTGCAGGAGCTCAAGTATCTTGAGGTACTATATATGAGTGAGGGGAGATGCTGCACCGGTCTGTTGTAATGAGGTGTAAGCTGAAAAGGCAAGGCACTCGATTTACTTGACAGTCACGACCAAAAGAACAAGGTCCCAGAAAAAAGGGCCTGAAAGTAGCTTTCTCTAAGGGAGTGCCCTGTAACTGCACTGTAAAAACGATCTCGAAATTCCTTAAATTACGTGTATTTACCTTTGATTTGAGTAGGTAAATAAGAGGATCTGCCAATGGATTGAGTATTTCTACTCTGAAAATAAATAATTAGATAATATGCATGAAATAAGAAAATGCATTTTTTTCTTATTTCAATTTATAAATTGTCTTGTTCTATTGGGAAAGTGTCTAACTTACCTCCTCAATTCAAGAAAAAAATGCACTTACTTGAAGAAAGTATGAGCAGTTTGTAAAACATTAATCCACTACCACTCATATGTCTTTATTTTTCTCTTAATATAATTTAAAGAAATTTTATTCAAATTTTTTTGAGAAGATGACACAGCTAATATGAGCAGTTAACATTCACAAATAGTCAGCAGCTTTATGTAGGAAAAAGTCTAATAACAAGTTTGAGAAAACCATCACCACCATCTTCAGACTGCCTCAGGGTACACGCTCTTATCTTCGGTCTCCTTTTATAAATGTCATTGTAACTTTTGTAACTTTTTAATAAGTATCAGCCGAAGAGCTGGGTATCTTAAAAGATTACAAAAATCTACCAGAGGGTTTAGCTTTGCTTTTGATTTGGAAAATATTCCTGGGGGATTCTGTCTTTTAGTACAGATAATGCTAAAATGTGGAAACAAAACAAATCAGTTTCTATACAAGAGGTTGTCTTTAAAGTGTCCGCTTTAATGATTTATTTTGTCATCTATTTATGTGTGCTCAGGGAAAGGTTTTTAATAAAAAGCAAATAGATTGGAGTAAACCTAAATGTATTTTTTGCTTTCGTTCACCAGCTGCTCATGGCAAACAACAGGTGGCAGTAAAATCAGAAAGATCCTCAATATTACATGTGTATAACTAGTGAGAAATCCACCAGTTTTAAAGGACTCCTAAATTAGGTGGATAAAGTTTATATTAGACATCTAATTCCCTTTAAATGTCCTAGAAAAATCCACTAAACCTCGCCTGAAATTGGGCAGTTAACAATGATTCTGAGTCCATTACAGCCTTTGTGCCTGAACATCAAACTGATGCAGGACAAACGCAACTTATTTGAGCTCTTCTTTTTTGTACCTTACAAAAAAATGAAAATGCAACCATATATCAGTCAACATTTTGTTAAGGAATTTAAAAACAGGAAAAGATTGTTGTCTTTCGCTTATCTGGCACCGTGCCGCAAGGGCAGAAGTCCTAAGTGAGAACCCAAGGACTTCCTCTCTCCAAACACCTCCCCCAGCTGTACTGGGGAAGCCAAAAGAGTTCCCAGGCCAGACATAGTCCCCACAGCATGTTTTGGGTCACTGCAGGACACACCTGAAACAACTCAGCTGGCTCCTTTTGATGTGGAGGAAGAGATGCAGCTCTACTCTAAGCCTATTCAGATGACTTATCTCCTCACTTTACTGTATCTTTTTACTGTATCTTTACAGTGCCAAGCCACCCTGCGGAAAACGGTAATTTCTGCGGCTTGTATCAGGAATCACTTCCTTTCGGTCTTGATCCAAATTTCCTGACTGCAGGGGACGGTATAGGTATACGAACATAAACTGACCGGTAAATGGAGAGCTTTGCCTTCTGGCTCGGCTCTCTCTTTACCACAGTTGAGCAGTGTTGGCATTATAGTGGCAGGCGCACTGATCTGTCTATTGATCTGCTCCATTATCCCTTTTCTTACGTATGAACAGGACCTAAAGAAAACGTGGACTTCCCCCTACTTAAGGCAGGAACTCTCTTCCAG